TAATGTGAAAACAAAACACTGGTATTATAATATTAGTACATATATTACATGTATGCACATACATTACATATATACATATAATACATATATTACGAATATTATTAAAAACTAATTAGAGGATATAGGCCAATGAGAGCATATAAACACAGTTGATGTAATGTTGATTATTTAGTAATTTCTTATTCTATTACCATTATTCTTGATCGACGTTTGTCTTTTTTNAAATTCTTATATAATAACAAACCGCTGAGATCAATTATGGTCAGTTCTGTTTTTTAAAGGCAAGATCATGGTCAGGAGGTGTTATTTTTAGTCAACGCAACGACGATCCTGTCTTTTTAAAGTGATAACAGCAACTTAATGTGATTAGAGCGCGTGATTCAAGTTGCTGGTATCACTTGGTAAAGACAGGATCGTTGTTGCGTTGATTGAAATTTACACCTGACCATAATTAATCCCAGCAATTTGTTAGTATATAAGGATTTTGAAAAAGACCGAATACGACGGTCGAAACGTCAATCAAGAATAATGTTAATAGAATAATAAATTACTAAATAATCAACACTACATCAACCGTGTTTATATGCTCTTATTGGTTGATATTCTCAAAGTATTTATAAAATTCGGAGCATCACATACTTTATTCAGATTTATTACTGACAACCTTACTGGAACTTTTATACCTTTCTTTCTGTTTGCTGATTGTTTCTTTCATGATACATCTTGTTCCTCAAACAGTACTCTTTTTTTATAACTTTCTTCGCATATATGACATGTGTAGTAAACACGAATTCCATATTTATCTTCCAGTATTTGTGACTCGAAAACATTACCACACATCTTAAAAAGAATAATACATATTATATTCACTTTAAGAAATCAGTGCAGTATATTTTATTAATACATTCGGAAAACGTACTTGGCACTTAAAAGGGTACTTAAAATGACGTTTGATATGGATTTGTAGATTTGTCTTGGTTTTGAAAGTTTGATCGCATATGGCACAGTTGAACGGACGGAACGATGAATGAACTGCTTCATGTTCAGTTGAACTCTGTTTTGTACTTAAACGTTTACCACATACCTTAAAAAGAATAATACACATTGTCATTTTGAGAACTCAATACGGAAAATATTTGATGAATACAATCGAAAAACATACTTGGTTTTTAGAAGGTTTCTCAGAATCAGAATAATGACATTTAAAATGGTTTAGTAGATTTGCCTTAGTTTTAAACATTTTATCGCATATATCACATTCATACGGGCGCAACGACGAATGAACTTTTTTATAAGCAGTTAATTGTTTTTTTGTCAAAAAACGGTTACCACATTTCTAAAAAAGTATAGTATACATTATTGTCACTGTGATAAATTAATGCGCAATATATTTGAAGAATGCAATTGAACAACGTACCTGACACCTATAAGGTTTTTTACCAGAAGAATGATTGTTACCTTGTTGCTCCATATTTCACTTACGTTGAAAAGTTGTTTTGCACGTGTCACAATCGTATGAACGCAATGATGAAAATGTACAGTTTTATAAATATTCAAATCGCATTATTATACAATAGGTACATGATAAATTTAGTGAAAGTTAAACAAACTGAAAGAAAAAAAAAGAAGAGATTGAGGAGACAAAAAGAAAGTGAGAACGTAACTGACTGCTTGATTCTGACTGACTGACTGACTGACTGCCCGCCTCGGTTCGAGGGCGCGCTTGGGCTATAGGGCCTGAGTTCGGCCAAGGAAGGTTCTGGAGTTTTCCTTATTTGGTAATATTCTAGAGCATTTTCGAATGTTCGAGAATAATCTAGAATGTTTCAGATTCGGCTGTGTGCTAGGACATACATTTCCTGTGTCGAAAAATTGCCTTCTATTGTAAGGTATTTCGAAGGGTCAATGGTGCGTCACAGTTGTATAGCTAACCGTCAGTTTTTATGATACTTAAAATAACCATGGAAATTCTAGAATCTACGCGTAGCAACTAGACTAAGCTAGACAATGGTCACAACTGAAAAAGCAAATGGTTTCTCTGCAAATAGATCTCGGGCATTTGGATGGTCTAGTAAGCGAATACGATCGGACACTTAAAGAACAATAGAAAGAATCTGAAACTTAACAGGTTTATCGGTTTACGATAGGAAAGTCGGGAGACTCGCGTTAAACAATTTTAAGTTGCAGTTAAAACAAATTACATAAAAAACAGATGCGTACTTGAAATCGAAAGTGATCTTGATAAACACGCGGTTACCGTTACGCACTCCTTACTTAAGTGGC